CCCCAAAACCCCAAAACCCCAAAACCCCGCAGGGTTGAATTGGCACTTTTTATTGATATAAAATTTAATTAGACCTTGAGGTGAAAGCAAGAATAGATTACTTATAAATATTTATCGTTTTTTTAATCTAATCACCACAATGGTAATAATTTGACTATTCTTTTACAAAATATACTAAATTCTCTCAAGACTTAATAATCAATACTTATAGTAGCAAGCAGATTATTCTAGTGTGATGCAAATGCCCTCTGAAAATGACCAGTATTTCCTTAGGTTAAAGAAAATGGAAAATTTTGTGCCCTAAAAAAGAATGTTTGCCAATAATCTGCATCATAAAACAAGCATGCATATTATAGGCAGCTAGGCTGAGAACAACAATAATACTACTTCTCTTTACCCACCATCTACTTCTCTTAATCTGGAAAGACACAAACTTCCTCCAAAAGGGAACATTAGAGGCAGGGAATACTCAAGGAATGTTATTAATCAGATAAATGGTCAGGGAAATGACTTTTATAAGACTGAATACCAGAGGACTAATGAAGAGAGACAACAGCTATCGTAACAATAGCTATATCTTACTCAGTAGAAATAGCTAAGCAGAGCTAATGTGAGATCTTAATAGCAGATCAGAGTTGAAGATCAATTCTTAGAGCACACTCCCTAATAGAATCGGCAGCAAACACAATAAATATTATAGCTAGAGTAACCATAAAGTTATTCGGCGAACTTATACTAAGGAGCATTAAATAATTTAAATCAGTCAGGATAAAATAACAACCAACAGTTTCAACATCTATAATTTTACTAGCCAATGAATCATTCAATAGAAAGACCATCGAACTAAGATTAACAGTTTCAATACACTAATGAATATTCTAACTAAAAAGATAGTCCAAGTGCATAAGCAGAGCTCATAAATAAGCAAAATATTAGTCCAAACTTAAATGAAGCCAATTTATATACAAAAGGTAATTAGGAGTATTAGCCTTCTTATACAACTCCAAATAATCTCGCAAGCAATCAGTTATTCTTCAAAGGCAGAATAAGCAATTAAACTCCAACAATTAATAGGAACTCTATATCCCCTCTGAATTAAATACATGTACTCTCAAATCTATCTGTAGAAGAATAAAGACACCAGAGAAGGTAGCATATGCTGGCCTAATAACATAAAATACTATTTTAAAAGCAATCAAATGATCATTAAAATCTTGAAACTAACTCTACACTTCCCAATCTTTACCAAAGTCACTTAAATATAAGCAATAATCACTCCAATCTGTAGAAATAACTGAGTGGATAGAATGCGTAGACCTAAGACTATAGTCCTATTCCTACAAATTAGAAAGCAACATAGTTAACACAGCAGCCTAATAAAAGACGGAGTTAGCCCCTAGGCAAGATTGTAACTTAGATAGAGATGAATCACCCTGAGACCAGAGCTTATTTAAAAGAGATTTTGGATTAATAGGTCAGAGAGAAACAAAGGCTTAAAACTATGCAGTTGATGGAACAGCAACAAGATATACCGATAGGTTTTAAATTTTCGTCAACTATTTAACCAGAATAAGATAATTCATATATAATGTAATAGCCCACACTATTAGCTTAAAGGAATGCAATGACACTCCCACCCAGACATTCACAATAAAAAGTTCTAAATAGCAATTTACACTCTCATAATTTGAAGCAGTAACCTCAAAATTATACTATTAATAATTCACAGATCCCCACTTCTATGAATACACCAAGAGTAAGTTTACCAAATGCTCTTAGGAATAGCTATAATGGAAGTTTGATATTAGATAACAGTATACTCCATAGCAATCCAAATAACTACAGAAATGGATTCAGATTTGACTCTGGATAGACATCGCCTGATAACTTGACGCTGCATAACAATAGCCTACTTATAAATGATAATAATTATTAGATGATGGGTTCAAGTAACAACAACAGCAATACACTAATTCGATAAGAAATAACTTCACCTTAAAATGCCATCTATGGCTAAAATGCAAACTATATAAGTAGTATTCTATGATTTATCTTAATTTTTTTGACCTTACTTCTTTATGTTTTCCTCTAGGGGTTTTGGGGTTTTGGGG